CGGCAATACAGACAAGAGCGGCACCGGCAGTGATGAAGGGGCGGCAGTAGCCGAAGCGGGAGGTGCAGCGGTCGCTGTAGTAGCCCAGGACAGGATATATATTTATATAGGGGCTTTTTTGTCATTTAATATTACAAATATTTTGTATTAAACAATTGAGGGTAAAATGGTCAATTCATATGTATCAAAGGTGTAAAAGTAAGTTAAGGTATAAGTGAAAGTTAAAACCAAAATTTTCATTTAGCTTAAATATAACCCAACCTCGTAGGTGTATCAGCTAGTCTGCCATATTTTTTCTTGACAGAAAGATAAGGAGATGGCTCCACGTGCTCTGATTCATTATTTTGATTATGATCCAGGAGCACTACCAAAGTGTTTCAAAAAAGGGTTATCTTGACGTAGGTCTGCCTCTGGCCTAGATCAATCTAAGTTAAATGAAGTCTCTATCGCTCTGCTTAAAAATAAAATATGAAACTTCATACGGTGTAATTTACCTTTAAATCAACCTTAGCCCAACCAGGCCGCCACCACCACATCAACTCCTTTCATGCCAGAGACACGTCAACTCCTTTCCAGCCAAAGATTCGAAATTTTGCGTTTAACAATCAACCCTAGCCCCACCAGGCCACCACCACCACCACATCAACTCCTTTCATGCCAGAGACACGTCAACTCCTTTCCAGCCAAAGATTCGAAATTTTGCGTTTAACTTTGTTATAACAACCACCTAAAGCCATGCAGCGAAATAAACGCACCAAAACTAACTAACATAAATGAGAGTCTGATTTTAGATTGAACTTTGTTAAAGGTGACAAATACGTTATTGATATAACCGAATTATTTTATTTATATTTTGATGAGTCCTGTTATTTAGCAGGATAAATAAAAAAAATTACTATTTTATGGAATCTATGTGACTATTCGTATTAAAATATAAGCTAATTAACTATTTACTTTTTTTATATTCATCTTCATCTAATATCTTTGTTAGGCAATTAAAGTGTCAATATACATCAATTACTTTGATAGACATTTGTTATCAAAACTAATCTATCTAATTCCCAGAAACAAAAATAAGGAGAGATATTTTTAAAAAATTTGCAAAGTATTTAAAAGAGCTATGAAAAAATGAAAAATAAGAAAAGAAAAAGAGACGTATTTTATGGGGAAAAAAAAAAAAATAGTAACGAATGTTTATTTAAATTGAAATTTTATAATAACTACGTCATATTTTATCTCTGTCGATTTTAGGTCGGGTATTAAAATAGTTAAAAATATCATTTTCCTATTTTGATATAAGAAGGAGAAAACAATTTGCTGACTTTTAAATATAGGAGAGATCTTAAATAAGTTGTCAATTATATATTATCTATATTAAAATGTCTCCTACATTAAATTTTTTTCACCTTTCCTATGTTAAGATCTCTCCTATATTAGTCAAAATTATATGCACAAAATAAAGTTACTATGTACATGACTCCATTATACGAAGTGGGCGGTCTTTAGCCAGCTACTATGACAAGTTACAACGTGGATTGTTGGAGTAAGATGAGTTTATGGGAAACATTTGTTTAGAACTTTGTATAGTCCTATATCAGTCCGAGTATATGTCACTGTCTGAATATACACCCGTTTGGGGGGCTCTATTGTCACCGGTCAGAAGTCCACGGACTCCATTTTAAAAGTACAGTGAAAACAAATATCTGGGTCCCGCCTGAACGTGACCCGATTTGCGCGTTCGGGTGAGCCCACGTTTATACATCTAGTTGTGGCCCGCCACGTTGGCAGTTGACGGAGGATTACCGAGTCTACGGACGCATGTTTCTGGGTAGCTATCTAGCTGTATCCAGTCAGTGGTTCGGTAAAGCTCACAGCTTGGCTAGGTCTGGAGCTCCAGCCATCAACCGTTGACCCGACCGTTGATTCCGACATCTTTTGCTATCACACTACACTATTACATTTAATAATTTGCAATATATTTAATTTCTCCAACCCAAAAACAAAAAATGAAAATTTTTTTCCCGGAAATTTTATTTGCACCATTATGCACTCTCATACTTCTAATTATTATTATTTTTATGACAAGGAATAAATTTTTTCCTAGTGTAATAACCAAAGGAATAAATTAACATACAATAATAATCAATGTCTCTAATAAGTAGGGATCGCAATGGGACGAAATAGAGTGGGGATCTCATTTCTCATTCCCATGCTTTGTGATTTTTTTTCATCCCCATACCCCCCCCCATTCCCGTTTAAAATTTCTCTCCCACCCGCATTCCAGTCCAACCCTGCTCCCGTAATCAATTAAGACACGTTATAATTTTTTTTAGCACATAATTATTCTTATTCTCAAATTTCAAGATTCAACACAATCAAGTTATAGTTTTTCTTAAATGTGTTTCAGAAGTGTGTTTAATATTTACTTAATCAAATTTATTAATATATCATAATATATAAGGGTATTTTAGTAAATGTATACCCTAAAGGGGGTGGGGCTACTCCGTTGGGTTTTCAAAAATTACCCCATTCCCATCCCCATTTACGCAAAGGGGTCTCTAAACTAGCTTTATACGAGGTGGGGCAAGACCTGTTGGGTTTGGAGATTTTGCCATCTCTGTTATTAAGGATATTAATTATGAAAAATGCTATACTTTACAACTTTTAATTTGTGATTTCATCTTGAATTGGGTGGCTGCTTATTTGTTAAGTTATTTGGTTGCTTTGTGTGTTTTAAAATTAAAATTTTAATATAGGAGATATCTTAATATAAGAAGGAGAAAAAAAAATAGTAAAACTTATAATTATGGAATCCAAACCTTAATATAACTTGAATTCAATCTTGTATATATTGGTTTGGAAGACTTTTTTTAATGGAATATTTACCATGAATTAGTGATTTCTTTTCGGTGAATAAACCTTAATTTATATAATTCACTTAATTTTTTTTTTTATAATTGTATTTTGATTTGATATTTTCTAATTACGATTAAATTTTAAAGACATGCTCAACAAAGATATAGAGTTGTTGAAAAATATAAAGTGCATAAAATAATATATATATATATATATATATATATATATATATATATGTATGTATGTATATATATACAATTGTATATATATTGAAAAATATTATAGCATCTCCAGTTGTCTGTTAAAATATTATTTTGTGTAAAATATACACTGTCACGTATAATATGTAATTTTTATTTTATGTCCAGTAGTCTGTTAGGAAACACTGTCACGTTACTAATGTGTAAAATTATTGTTTATTTTACACAACCTTTTTACACATTCACGTCACTATATTTCCTTTCTCCTTTTTCTTTCTCATTCCATTAACAAATCAACCCTATATTAAATAGGTTTGTAAAAATTATGCGGGGTCCAAACATAATAATGGTGGGTTGTTATTTAGGCAATAAAATATACACAACGATTGGAGATGTTCTTAGTAGAGGAAAACAAATTAACAATAGAAAGATAAAATTTAGTGTAATTATTTCTTATTTCCTTTTTATTCATTAGTTCAGTTTGCTAAACTAGGAAACACAAATGCACAATGGACTATAACTTTAATATGTATTAAATTAGAGGACATTAATGAATCTTTAACTATATGTGTAGTTCATTAATTATTACTGAGAATTCGTTTGGTTACGTGGAATCAACTAGAAAATAAATGAAGGAGAATTTATTTTATTTATTTTTTGTTTGCATAGATGAAAAAAGAAACATAATAGAAAAGTTAGTTTTCCATATTAACCTATTTTCTACCAAAACTTTTCTTGCACAAAATACATGGAAATAATATTTTTTCATGAAAGGAGTGCCTTTTTATTTGACATTCCTATTTTACCCACTAACTTAATTATACAAAACAACTTATTTATTTATTTATTTTTATTAGGTTTCAAAGATACAAGTTATCTAAAAAATAAATCTTTCTTTATTTTTCTACAAGTTCACACACACACACACACACATATATATTTATATAAATTGACAACAATAACACACAATCAAATCTCTCTCAAAAATTAGTATTGCCATAAAAGTTTATTCGTCTCATTATTTATTTATTTTTTAAAAGTTTTGTTTCTCTTAAACTAATAATTAATTATACTTCTACCTAAAAAAATATTATAAAGTCTTACTTTAAAATATAAATAAAACATAAGTAATTATATTATTAAATTTAATAATCCATCATTTAAATTTTTTTTTTTTACTAAAAATAGACATCATCAAATACAAATTCACTTATATTTTAGTATTTGAAATCATAAAGGGTAATTTTGGTATGTTCAATTACTTTCTTTTCACTTTCATGCTATCAAAAATAATAAAATAATATTTTTCTATATTTTTCTTGAATAAAATTTTACACTAACTAAATGTATGCTAGAAAATAATTTTTCTTTTCATTCACTTCACTATTATTTTATTTTTCATTTCTTTTATTTTCTTGCTTATTTCCATCAAATTAAATGGAGCCTAAAGTTGTAATTTAGTGATTAAATTTTTTTGACATAAGATATTGTATAGTTTAGGTAAATATTTTTTCTTAGACAATTCTATCATTTTTTTAGTTTAATAAAGACAATTTTATCCCTTTTTATAAAATTATTGTCAAATATAGAAACACTACATTTTCGTAAAATTAGTAAAAGAATACAGAAACACTACATTTTCGTAAAATTAGTAAAAGAATAACTTTAATAATATTATTACCAAACAAATTTTAAAATATTTTATCCATTACTAAAAAAACATAAGCTTTTACTAACAACAAATTTACTACACAATGGTAATATCCATAACACAAGTAAGTTGGATTTATTACACGATACAGCCAAGATCACCGGCTTGCTCATGCCGCCAACTAAAGCAGCTCAAGTAATAAATACGTGGGAACACGTAATAATATTTTAGCCGGCTTGCTTGATTACCATTTTTTTCATTTCTTTATATTTATTAAAAGCGCATAAAAGACCAACTCGAAAGGCCACAATCTCACTATCTCTCTTTTTCTATCTGTATTGTAGCTCAGCTGGAAAGGAAAGTGAATTCCCCAAACCAAATTGCACATTTTCCAAGAAAGTCCGAGACATCAGTCGGAGGTCGCCGGAAGTTTCAGAGCTGTTAAATATTTCCAGCGAACTTCGCCGGCAATGTGTGAATTCCGGTCACTCGTTTGCTTCTTGCTTCTTTGCTCGGTGGCGTTGGCTGCTGCTCAGGGATCTACCAATAAAACCAGTTTATGGCAGACATTAGATGGTAATTCGATCTGCTCACTCAAAACTTTCTTCTACCTACTTCCTTTTAGTTTCAGATTTTGCTACTCTGTTTGGTTGTCGAGAAACCCGAGCAAAAGAAAGCAAAAGAAAATGAGATGCGAATAAACAAAAGACATCTTAAATCACTTTTTTTTTTTAATTTTTTTGGCTGTCTTTGCATGTTAAAAAATAGATGCAGTTGATCAAATTTCAGAGATTCAGTTAGTTCAATACTTTTCAGTTCCCCCCGCCCCCCCCCCCCCCCCCCCCCTCCCCCCCTCTCTATCTATCCTTGTCTCGATCTCTATTTATTTATCACAAAGACTTCGTATCTATCCTTGTCTCGATCTTTACTTGCTAAGCTACTAGTATTAAAGTATTTCTTATGAGAAATATTTATTATCTCATATTGAGTATACATGAAGAAAATTAGTGTTAAGTTACAAAACACTTGCTTTGATTCGCTTCCAATTTTTAGTATGAATAAGTGTCATTTAGTTGCTTTATTTATTGCAATTCAGCTTTCCCCATATCATGGTAATTATTGCAATTCAGTTTGCGTCGTTCCCCAATATGATCTGCTGATCTTGAGTTTTTCTGTTTATTTGTTCTTGTTCTTATTATTTTTATTATTATATACGTTCATACATTCATACATACATATTGGGTTTCCCAAAAATATGAATTTATGTTGGAATGATGAAATGTATGCTCTTGAAGCTATTGTATGAGTTTGTTTTCTTCATTAAAATTCAATAGACTTTTATAGTGCAATAGCCAATCGGCCCCTCCCAAGACCCTGTTAACAACCATCTACTCTAAAAGCTTAAAGCGGTTAGAAACGCTGTAACTTTAATAGTTAGATACCTCATAGGACCTTGCTTGATATGATACATTGTTAACAACCATCTACTCTAAAAGCTTAAACTATTAGAAAGGCTGTAACTTCAATAATTGAATCATTCAGACACCACAGCCTCCATCAACAGGGACCACACTAGGATTTTTATTTTTATTTTTTAATAGAACATCTACAGACCCTTATATCAGTGGGCATTATACACCAGCAGCTGTGTAAACATGAAGCCTGAAGCATAACTGAATGTAAGATTTGTGTTGAACAGCAAGCAGGAAGAATGGTCTTGGGATACAACACTTGTGCTTTCTAGGTTCTCCCCTTTGGAGGAGAATGATTTCTGGGAAAGTTGTACATTTATGTTTGTTAAATATGGAATGTTCTTGCTATTAGATGTGTAACACGAGATATTGAGACTTAAGAGTCAAAGTATCTTGTTTGGAGGTCCTGATAAAGAAAACCGAAAGGATAAAAGAAGCGGAAGTCATTTTGCTTTGTTTTGGCCTAACAAAAGAAATTTTACGTCATTTTCAAGAATCTATAGTTTGTTGTTGACAAAGGTACTCTTGTAAGAGAGTTGTAGTGATTATTTTCTATCATTTTCTGGATCTATTTACGTGTGGGCTACCTAATGCTGGTTACTTATCTTGTATCAAGCGGAACAGTTGATTAGAAGAACTGTTGAAATAGCATCATAGTAATGGAGTATTTTACAGCAAACATGCATATGGTTTCCTGTTAGGAATATCGTTGTAGGACTTTCTAAAGTTGGGGATAGTGTTCAGTTTCTTGTAAGAGTTAAGAAAACCACGAATTCATTATGTGTCATTCGGGGGAACAGTTTGTGGTGATTTTTTTAAAGGCTTCAAGTAACCTAAAAGTAGTGCAAGATAGAAATTGATTCTACAATGTTAACAAAATTTATATGTGTGGCAATGGGCTAGTGTCAGCCGTTTGAGGCAACTGGGATTGCTTTGACCGAAAACTTCTTTTTACAACAACAACAATCAAGCCTTTTTCCCAACTACTTGGGGTTAGCTACATCAAATCTTTTCTTTCTCCTTCATCTTCTTTTTCCTATTCTTTTTTCTTTTTGTTGATTTAGTTTTGTCAACAAGTGTGCCACAACAAGCTGTCAGGTGTTTGTATGCTTATGAAGATCAAGAAGATGGATGATCTTAACTTAAAGAATCATTGAGGCATGCCGCAGTTGATCATGCCATCTTGAGAGTATCAAAGTGTTTCCAGTTTCTGGAGCGAAATAAAATGTTTTCAGATGGAGAAGGATTATAAATTTTTGACACTTTTGGCATACTTTTCTATGTCAATATTATCACTGATGTTCTTGGCTGGACGTCTCACAAGCTCATTTTTTGGTGTCCTTTTGCAGGAGATGCACCTTTAGTCATAGCACGTGGTGGGTTTTCAGGGCTATTTCCTGATTCTAGTTATTCTGCCTACAGCTTGGCATTATTGACCAGTCTTCCTAAAGTGATCTCATGGTGTGATGTACAACTAACAAAAGATGGAGCTGGCATCTGCTTCCCAGATCTCAGGCTTGAGAATGCTTCTGATATTGCAGATGGTGATTTCAAAGACAAGTCTAAAACCTACTCTGTCAATGGGGCACCTATGCAAGGATTTTTTTCTGTGGATTTTACCCTTAAGGACCTATCAATGGTCTCTTGTAAGTTTAATTATGTTTAATAGTTTTCTATTAGATTTTTCTTTGCCATTTTACAAATGATTTGAACTTAATATGTTGCTTTGATACATAATTCTATTGAATCATATTGTCATTTTCTTTAGGAGTTTGTGAAGACACCAGATTTACTTTATAGCCATCTTTGTGCCACTCCTTCTCTGTTAATAGCAAATGATACTAGTTATTGTTAGTTTTAACGTCCACTAGTTCATCAGAAATTAGCTGGTAGGTTGCTTGCATACTTGCCTTTCTCAAGCAGTTCGACTGTTGAACCCATATGGTTATCAGTACTTTTGTGGTTTAGCTATACTTTCTTGTGACTGAACAAACCTAGTTAAGTGTCCATATCCTTGGTTGGGGCTCTTATTCTATTATCAAGGTTGTCTTATATTAGCCTCAAAATATAGAGTTTGAAAATTTTATTATACCCCCAAAAAATAGTTAATATACAAATAATGCCCCCCAACTTTTTTCAAAGCACTTGTATATTAGCCTCAAAATATAGAGTTTGAAAATTAATTTAACTTGCATCCCTTTGACTTTGACCATTTTACTCGTAGTCTTAAAAACTCAAATCTTGTGAAACATACCTTCCAAAAAAAAAAAAAATCGTGTGAAACGTAAATTTTTGTTATTATGATTGTAGTACACTCATCATTAGTTCATTTACATATACACATGTATATTAATTTAAAAGAGAAAAATACATTGATGTCCCCTCATTTTTATTAAAAATGCATTCACTTTTTTTATTTATTTTTGTCACACATTTTAGTCTTACGGTTTTTACAATTAAAATATCTAAAATTATATACTAATCGCCATTTGCAAGTTTTGGATTCATTAGAAAGGAGGAGAAACCAAAATGTTGTGAGACCTAAATGGCAAAACGCCAACAACAACAATGATATCTTATATATTAATAGTTCTAATTGTCACTTGCTAAATGACAAATTGTATGGCAATTAATTTTTTGTATAAGTTAGTATAAGTTATAGAACTTGTGTAATTTTATTTAGTTAAAATTATTATTTTTCTGAATCTTTCATGAAGATAATAATGATAATTTTTTTCAAAAGTAAAATCCAAATTGACTTTATGAATAATTAAACAATTGTTGAAGAAAATTTGATTCTTTAACAATGCTCTCTCTTTATCTCTTCATTTTTTACTTAAAAAGTATCGCTTGCTCCTCTATATATTTCTTTCTCATATCAAAATTATTATTATTTTTTTTCTGTTTATTAAGGTTGCATTTTTTTTTTTTTATTTTTATTCTTGAGGTATATATATTATGAATATATACTATATGCAAAATTATATTACAATTTATTTTTAAAATAAAATTTAATACAAATTCAGCCCCCCCAAACTAAAATTCCTGGCTCCGCCCCTGGATGTGTTGTCTTGAAACGGGCAATTGGTGGATAGCCTGCATAGGTTGAGTTTGTTGAGCTTACTTCTTGATGATGGTGAACTTATCCATGTATCAATCTTTTTTTAATTGATGTCATTACTGTTAATCTTAACTTGCTTTGGTTCATTAGACAATAGCTTCCAGATTCATCAAAAGCTAGGAAGCGCAGACACGTCTTCTAGGGGTGCCGTCGGCGAGGTGGTTTTGTAATTATTTTTTTTTGAAGATTGGGATTCAATGAAATTTAAAAACAAAAACAACAAACATCTAGCTCTAAGCTCTAAATTAGTGATTTCATTCATCATTATGAATAAAATGAGCAAAAGTTATTATTTATTATATTATTATTTTTTGACGTATCCCTGCCATATCTGTGTCCTACTTTTGAGGTTTACCATATTGCCGTATCTGTATTGTGTTGTATCCATGTCTAGTGTCTGAATGCGTGCCTCCTAGATTGAAAGCTGCCTAGTTAAGGAGTTAGTGTCAAATCCAATGTGCCATCAGGTATTTTGTGGTCAAGATATCCTCACAAAGCCAAGCCACAGTTGAAACGATATGGTAAAGGTTCCATGTCCTCAGTTGAGTGACCCTGTAGTTTTTCTGGGTCATCTTATTCTGCTATGTTGAGACTATTGAGAGTAATAATTGGTGCTTTTGATGTGTTTGTAGAGCCTACTGCTCAGTGCTTGTGAACTTATTTCACATCTTGTTGCTTTAAGGCATGACTTCTTTTTATCTATACTGAATATTTTTTTGTTGCTCTGGACAGTAATTCAGGGGATTTATGCTCGAACTGATAAGTTTGATGGCAACATATTTCCAATTCTTACTGTTCAAGACTTGGTTACGCAAATCAAGCCACCAGGATTATGGTTAAATATTCAGGTAAAAATTGACTTCTAAATTCCCAAAATTAGTTGATTTTTTTGATGTGCTATCTTACTTAAAATATGTACATTTGGTGTCTCAGCCAATATTTGAAATGACCTTTCCTTTGTCCTAATACTTTCGCAGCATGATGCATTCTTCAGCCAACACAATTTGAGTATGAGAAGCTTTGTAATATCTGTAACTAGAAGTACTATTGTTGATTACATCTCCTCAACAGAGGTGAATTTCCTGAGGAGTATATTGGCACGCAAACCAAGCATGACGAAACTTGTCTTCCGGTTTCTAGGACGGGATGAAATTGAGCCATCAACCAACCAAACTTATGGCTTTCTCTTAAAGAATCTTACATTTGTCAAAACATTTGCCTCTGGAATTCTTGTTCCCAAGTCTTACATATGGCCCGTAGATAAAAGACTATATTTACAGTCTTATACCTCAGTTGTCCTGGATGCTCATAAAGAAGGCTTAAAAGTTTTCGCATCAGACTTTTCAAATGATGCTGTGTTTGCCTATGATTACGGTTATGATCCTGTAGCTGAGTATATCTCTTTCATTGACAATGGCATCTTTTCTGTAGACGGTGTGCTTTCTGACTTCCCAATAACTCCATCAGCGGCTATAGGTATGTTAATGACTCGTTTTGGTTGATAACTTTAAAACACAGATTGCTAGTCAGTAGGGATTCTTAGTAACCACTTCTATATTGGTTTCTAAATGTGTTAGATCATTCTCATTGGTGATTTGTTGTTGAACTAGATACTAGATCTATTGCCATGTTGTCCATCACATTCAGAATCAGGATTTATGTTTAACATTTAGCGGAAACTGGATTTGAAAAACACATGTACTCAAGCTAGTGGTATTCTAGACAAATTCAAATAATAGCATCATAATCTTCACATTGGTCCATGCCCTTTCCTTCCATCTTGACCTGTCCTTGAACTATTGCTGAACAATATTCTGATAATTTGCATACTTTCACTAGTTGGCAAAACTACCGTCGGCTTTAACTGGATTTCAAATGCACCTACTAAGATAAGGGCTAGTGGTGTATTAGGACGATGCCCATAATAACATCATCAGATGGTTTGCAATTACAACTTTTTTTTGGGGGTTATCATTAAGATTATCTATGCCTCTGCATCCTGTAGGTCCTTTTTGCATTTGCTGGGTTATATTCTAATGATTGCAAACTGTTCACTGAGTCAAATATTTGATTATCTATGTAACAAGAACACTATGGATGTTTGGTATCTAAAACTGCAAAGTGGAATCAAACTGGATAGTGAGACACGTGTCTTGTCTCCAATAAACTGAATAAAGTCGTTTGACCGTGCATTTCATATTGGTGTAGCCAACAGGCAAAAACCAATGAACCAAGTTTACGTTAGCTCATGGTCTGTTTTTTGTTGATAAGTACTGGTATCCACTACTGATGATTTATTCAGCATAAAGATATGTATTCGTGTGACTTGCTCCATACAACTAATTTATCCAGCACCAAAGGGGTGTTTGTGCAAGTGTTTTCCGTTGCCTGAGCCTGTGTCTGTACATGGCTTGGCAAAAAAGAAAAAAGCACTAGAGAGACAGAAGGCGGAAATGTGGGGGACTACTAGTAGCTGATGGATCTAAAAGACATAATTGTACAGGTGGAGACAAGTGGTTATTCATTATAAACATATTTTAACAACATTTGATGCTATACATGTCTTATTGTTCTTTAGCTATCATAACAATTGTCTTTCTGTGATTCCCATGCCCTTGCATTCTGGCATAACAATTGATGCTATACATATCTTATTGTACAGGCGGAGACAAGTGGTTATTCATTATAAACATATTTTAACAACATTTGATGCTATACATATCTTATTGTTCTTTAGCAATCTTAACAATTTTCTTTCTGTGATTCCCATGCCCTTGCTTTTTGGCATTGCTTAATTATTTCTCAGTATTGCTATCTATTTACCAAGCATAGCATTCATATTACTAAATAGGTTAGTATGAATAACGGTGTTAAAGCAAAATGGAGTCTAAAGAGATTGCACTTGGCCTAAGTTTCCGTTCATAACAGTTTTCTAACATGCATGCATATGTTTATTAATTGCGGAAAAAAAATAGAAGATAAACTCAAGACTCTATTTTTAGTGGTCGCCATCCTCTTTCAGTTTTGAGCTGGATAAGGTTGTCTAAATTGGGACACTGCCACCCTCAGAGTAGGAACTACAATAGCATAACAAGTTGCAATAGACGAGCTATATTATAATTCCATTCTCACATTTCTCTTATATTTCTATAACAGTGCCACTGTTTTCACACTGGCTTCAGGGAATGGAGCTGTGGCTGAGAACTGTGGGTAACTATTTCCAAGTCCAGATCAGTTTCCAGTGATACAGATCATTTAATCTTTTCTCCTTCCACCTGGCATTTACATTGAGAATACTTGACAGTTGTGGTATTACTGCATTAAAGTTTTACAGATTTGGAATTAGTTCCAGTTTAGCAGATCAGTCGGTCGAAATTGAACTCAATACCCTTTGAAATTTATATCCAAAATTTTAATGTTAAATCAACTAGGATCAGTATTATATTAAAAAAGAGAAAAATAGATTCAATTTCCCGATAAAAGAGTTGAGAGAATTGTTTTGAACCTCTTGTATCTTCCTTTTGAACTTTCCAGTTTTGTTCTTTTGATGAGATGTGCTACCATAGGATATTGAAGGGTCAAAGAAAAAATCCAAAACCTTAATGCATTTAAAGAATTAGAATTACATCCAACACTATTCACCCTAATTCTAGGGCTTGGCATTTCCCCTTGCACGTGTGAAACTTGTTATCCGTCCTACGACGAATACTGTCGTGGCACGCGTCTGAAGAGCCAGCAGTCTGGGAGGCAAGGTGGTCGCATCGTGGGAATATGATAATCTATGATTCATAATGTTAATTCTCTTAGCTGGACGAAGAACTCATTTCTTGATTGGTTGCTATATTTTCTTTGTCAGAATTGATGTGCTAAACTTTGGTCAGAATTTCATATTATGATAGTCCACGTGACACTTCTTACATATTCATGTAGTCTTATTCATAATTATAATAAAAAAAAAACGATTTTTTTATATTTCAATGGTTTTTTCTTCCAGATGCTAATTTTTATTTTCAACACCACAGATTGCTTTTCTCACATAGGCAAAAATGTTACTGGAGAAGGTATGCAACGATTACAATGCTTCTACATTATTTGGTTCTTTCTTCTTTGTGTGTTGCTAGTATCAAAGAGTCTGTTTAGTTTTTTTGTATTAATTTGATGCCAAATTATTGGACATCAAGGTTGACTAATTTTGTTGGACTGTACTTCCTTCAGCCAAGCCTTTGGTTATCTCACACAAAGGAGCAAGTGGATTCTACCCTGGTTGTACTGATTTGGCATATAAAAAGGCTATTTCAGATGGTGTAGATTTTCTTGACTGTCCTGTTCAAATGACAAAGGATGGAATTCCAATTTGCTTAGGCTCTATAAATCTTATAGATAGCACAACAGTTGCTCAATCAGCCTTCAGCAACTTGACGATCAGTATTCCAGAACTTATGGTAGTCAATGGAATATTTACCTTCAACCTCACATGGAGCCAGATTCAAAGCTTAACCCGTAAGTTTGAACCGGTCCATACTTTCTCGTTATTAGTTGTAGATTCTCCTTAATCTTTGCTTCTTCACTTCAACTTTTATCTTTTTAATACGAAGAAATCAGTCACGCGTGAAAAAAATTGGCTTGCAGAATGGTTGAACATCAAAAGTTACAAAGATGAATGAGTTATTGTCCCCTTGTGAGAATTTTGTGGTTTAATTAATGTAAGGCCAGCAAAAGAGAAGGCTAATCTGCTACACAACCTGCCCCTACTAAGACAGGGTGGGATGCATAAGATTGAAGTATGGCGGGATCAGGGTTATTTCAAACTGTTGATTTCAAGGCTGGTTAAACTTTTATATCATTAATTATATGCAGTTCCTGTATTTTTAAAAATTCCCACTTCGAGGGGGTTTTGGGGAATAGTTATAAAAAGGCATAAGGTGCACCAAGAACCAAGGTCTCTTGGAACCTAAGCTAAAGGCGCAACATAAGGCGTGTGTGTGATAAAAATGAAAATGAAATATAGCGCATAAGAAAAAAAAAAAAAAAAAAAAATATATATATATATATATATATATATACAACAAAACTAGTCAAGATAAAAAAATTAATGATACCTTTAACATATCAATTGAATGGATTCGCTAAAACATTATACATATAGCTTTAAAGTTTTCATATGAATTCAATTTAAGTTAGCGTACATATGAAACAATTCAACATATGTAATAACTAAATAACAGCTTTTTAAAAATGGAAAAATTGACATATGGACTCAGAGGATCAAGTAAATTAATGCATGTAAATCCTTTTAGTATGTATATGCATTAACTAAATTAAATATTATTAATATTTGCAATAATAAAAAACATTAATAATCCAAAATTTGACATTATCAATATAAGCTCATGAATTTCGTCAAATATGCATTAGTTTTTTAACAATATGATCCATCGAATATGACCATAATGTGATGTAAAGTGTGAAGTCGTGGTTATTAAAAAATAAATGAAAAAGAAAACAATATGAATGAATGACTTAAAAATAAGAAACGCACTTTTTTTTTTTTTTGAGTTTGGAGCCTGATAAAAAGGTGTGAATCTGACTGATGTGGCCTGACGTGAGTAGGTTGAGGCGATTCAGTAAGCCTTGACGAGCTTGGGTTTTTTTGAAGCCATGACATGCCTTTAACAACTATGGTTGGGGGTGACACCTTTTAAGTTACTACTAATTCATCTTATTTTTCTCATTGATATTAAATTTGAGTATAATTTCTTGTCTATAAGCATCTTCTTATCCTAATATTAGAACTATTCCTAGTAAATAAAAGCTCAATAACTTTAATCCTAAGCTAGACTCTTCAGGCTAACCGTGAATTGGAGATTATTGAATCTAATCCTTAGCAATAAAAATAAAACTCAAACAAGGCATCCATCTAAGCATTCTTGATGGTCATACAATTGTTCTTACATGAACTGTGCACGTATTAGAAAATGTTCAATCCATTGCCTTTGTGATGGAGTTATGGCTTTTATTGATGGTTGGTTCTGGATCAGAGATGGTCCTAAAGGCATTGGTTACAGAAAATTGTGTAATAGGCTACTATCAACTAAGGTAAAAATCATTTTCCTTCAGATTTACATCTATTTTAATAATAGAATTTCTTAGGTGATATTGAAAACAAAATTTTGTTACTTTGTTTATGTATCATTTTTTTCCCTTCATTCTCCCGTTTGTCTAAAAATTTATAAATATCCTGATTCTCATCTTCAGAGTAGTAGTTTGGTATATAAAAGTTTTCAATGGAACAAAGGACAAATGCTATGCGAACATGGTTTGCTTGTGAGTAATGCAACACCTAGAACAACACACACATATATTCAAGTGAGCTACCAAAGCTTGTCACATCTGCTTCATTAAACTCCAACAGAACTTGTATCCAAACTACTTCCAGTCAGTTGCATGGTGATGGTTGAAAACCACGAGTTTTTGGGGAAAGGTCATACAGTCAAAAGAGAAGTGTCACGTTAGGTTGATTTTAATTATTTTATATAATCAGATACGTGTGCTTCAATGATATTCATTGTTTCAGTTGAGGGAAATAATACACAAATAGAATGCTGGTTGGGGGGAGACACAACCCTTATGTGCTGTAGGAGTTCTTTACAGATTTATGCTCACCTTAACCTCCTATTTTTAGATGACTTTAACTCTTCACACATTTAAGTTACTATCTCTGACGTTTCCTGTTCTAGTATCCCTAATAGAAACGACTGACCGTGTTCCTTTATTTTAAAAATAGTTATTTAATATCCTTATATTTTTCTGTATTTTTATTTTTGTTGCAGCTGCAATATCGAATCCGTACAAAAAGTACCAGCTCTACCGGAATCCAAATTCCACATTTGCTGGACAATTCATGACATTATCTGAGTTTTTGGCACTCACAAGAAACACTAGTTCTGTTTCCGGCGTTTTGATCAGTATAGAGGTGGGTTTATGCTGCCCTACTTGTTCTGGATCCTTATCGAAATCATTAAAATTATTGCTTTAGCAAATGTTTAAATTTGTTACATGCTGAATGCATGTAATCTCTTTGCCGTTTACTTCCATTGAATGACCACATGATTTTTATTTTTATTTTTCTAATAACCACATGATTTGATTAGTGGTGTTTTAGAAAGTAGTTATACAATTATACTGAATAATTTAACTCTGGTGCATTTAATTTTAGACAGAAAACATGGATTTGGGAAATATCATTCTGTGGTGATGCTGATTGAATTCGATTATTTTCTGTACCTTGTATTCTATGGTTCTTTAGAAAGCCTTTTTTGTTGGGGTCAGGGATGTACCCTTGGCAGAGGTTTGGAGGTGCCTTGACCTTGTTATTTCCAGGCGACTGGACTGGTTATATTTTTGGGTCAGATGTAAGAGTCAGGATCATCTGTTGTGCACAACACCTTGTTGTAGTACATTCAACAACTTATTGTAAGAGTCAATACATTATTTCGAGACTAGATTTAATGTGTTGACTCTCAAATAAGTTATTGACATCCACACATTATTTGAAATAATGATGTTGAATTCTTGAAATAATGTATTGAAATCTTAAAATAAGTTATTGGCGTCTCTATTTTAATGTGTTTATTCAAATACTGGATTTAATTTTGGGTTGTAATATAGAAATCCTCTTGTAACCGGACCTTGTTTTATATATATATATTTATTTAATTGTATATGTAACTGGACCCGGGATTTTCTCATAAATGGGCAAAATGTAGTAAATCACCATGTTATATACATTGTGATTGGGTTGATTAATCTTTCAAGTTGTCAATGGGTATCACTTTGCATCTATTAATTACGTTCTGATTTATTTGATTTGAACAAACTATTACATCAAGGTCAATGTAACGAATTTCTGTATTTCATAATTTTAATAAATAGTTGATACATACGTGTACTTTGTGATCCTTACTTGAATCTTTCTCACAAAAATAGAATTTATTCACTCTTTTCTTATAGAATGCGCCATACCTAGCAGAGAAGCAAGGGCTAAGCATAACCAATGCAGTTCTTGATGCCTTACGTGTAGCTGGTTATAATAATCAGACGGTCAAAAAAGTTATGATTCAGTCAGCCAACAGCTCGGTTCTAATCAAATTAAAGGAGAAAAGCAATTATGAGCTCGCGTACCAGGTCGATGAGGCCATACGTGATGCCCTAAACTCCTCCATTTTGGACATCAAGAAGTTTGCCCATTCTGTTGTCATCAAGAAGGAGACTGTCTATCCTGAGAATGCAGCATTTCTCACTGGTTCAACAAAAGTTGTATCAAAACTACAGGCATTTAAACTTCCTGTTTATGTACAGCTCTTCAGCAATGAGTTTGTATCTCAAGCGTGGGACTTCTTCTCAGACGCATATGTGGAGATCAATTCATTTGTCATGGGGGCCGGTATTGATGGCATCATCACAGACTTCCCAGGGACAGCCGTTAATTACAGAAGTGAGTGTGTACTGAAGTTTTTTGTGCATATATAATTTGAGTGCTCTTGTTACTCTGCAAATAATTGTTTCTGACTTTATCCATGCTTTTAATTCACAAGTTTTAGACAAACTTTTGCCCCACTTGAGACCCTTTCACAAGTTTTAGACAAACTTTGACCTCACTTGAGAACCAAACATTTCTTAAATATCAAGTTAACAATCACATTTCACCCACCTGTACAGTAACTTGTTATTCTTGTAGTTAAAACGATTTGCTCGATATCCTTTATCTAGCACTTGTATGCTTGTTGGAATCTGCTGAAAAATATTAGCAGGAATACCATATGAAGTTCAAATCTGTCATTTGCTAGGGTGATCTTATTGAATTGGGTAGTACGGACATGATACTACTGCTTACAGCACACTAATTCCAGTTTGTCTTTATTTATTTATTATTTTTGTTATTTATAATTACAAGATATTTTAGACTATTAAGTTGTCTATTGAACAATTCTTATTTGCTCTAAAGTAACAACATTTGGTGTTTTTGCGGATGTAGGGAACAAATGTTTAGGGTTGGGTGATAAAACACCACCTTACATGACCCCTGTTCTCCCTGGTAGTCTTATGCCATTAATTACTGCACAATACTTGCCACCAGCTGAGGCTCCAAACCCACTCCTGACAGAATCTGATGTGGTTGAGCCACCTCTTCCCAGTGGTGAGGTGAAAGGCCCAACTTCTGACACCGGTGGTGGGTCTAATGCAGCAGCTCCAACCCCACCAAATGGGCAGCCTAAAGTTGATGCATTCATCCTCCTGTCTAATCTGGCTATCCTGCTTGTGACTCTCATGATATCCTGAAACCATGACGCCGTCCTTGGTGACCATTTTGCAGCATTGCGTATATCTACATTATTGAGCTTTGTGTGACCGCACAGCTGATTTCTCACAAATCTGCAGTGATTACTTAATTTTTCCATTAGCATCGTAGGTATGTTCATACAGCCCCATGTAGAACACACTCTGGCTGCCATTATTAATTCTTATACTGAACATTTGCCCCATTTTCCTTGTAAATCTTTTCATGTTGTGAACTTATGCGCATAACAGCATTCTTATGTTTATCCTCCATCAGTGATCTTCATAAAATGATTTTTTATAATGTAAAACACTTAAGTGTGATCATAATCTATGATTAACATTTTCGTCTCCATAATTTGTATTTTATTCCATATCCAGTGGGCAAAAGAGCAACTGATAAACCTGATTTTGGATCAACTCTGTTTCAAAATGAATTGTATTTTCTTTTCAGCCTAATTTATTGGGACTCCTGGGAGCTCAAAATTTCAATAATTTGGATCAATCCTGGAAGCTCAAAATTTCAATAATTTGGATGAATCAGCCTACCCTTTATTGCTGTAAAGTTAAAGGAAGTAACGCCATGGCAACCCTTAGAAATTTTAAATTATAGGTTGTCATGGAAAGTGTAAAGAAAATAAAAATGGAGATATAACGTCCTCATGGATCATTTGGTGTTCAATCTCGACTTCTGCAGATCAAACTAGTAGTGGTTCATTTCTTCAAACCAGGATTACTATTGACCATGCCACTAAATGCAGCTCAGGGGAACCTATAGTAACATCGGAATTCTTTTCTGGGCAGCCATGAAAAAAAGGCTTGTATTCTTTAGATATGATTAGATATTGTAGTCTTCTAACATCAGTGTTCAATTTTCCAATTTGATTACACAAAAAATCACTTTATCTCATCACGATAAAAAAAACATGATTAAAATTCTCTCCAGGAATTCATCACACAGTGAAACGGTTAAAAATTAAATAGGGTCTGATCTCACCAACTCAAATGAAAGGGAGTGGTTTAAAGCCTGTAACATCTATGCTTAAACATATATTTTTGGGGGAAAAAAACCCTAATTTGCAACACATGCATGGGGCATACAAATGAGGTCATCACATCAAACATCAAGACCATTGATACGAATAAAAACTAACCTCGATGTTTTACTTGACACAGAAATAAAATACGACAACAAAACAAAAGAGTTCAAGCTAACTACCTTAGCTTAACAAACTTTCAGTCCCATGCCTTCAGAATACAAAAAGAAATAGGAAATAGGGGAAATTCTGAATATTAAAGATAAAGTTTAGATAACAAAATTTTAAGCAGCAGCACCCTTCCCCTTCTTCCTCTGGAGTTTCTTCATGTAAAACTCGAGCTCTTTGCCTTCTAATATGTATCTGTCAGTAGCAATTTCCACAACAGATTAGAAGAGAAGAAGTAGAAAAGAAACAGAACATAAGCCACACTCATCTATGTTCCAACCTAATTATCAACAAGGTTGTCAAGGTTATGAAGTGTTATTGCCATATACAAAGTACACAGGGAATAGCCATATCCAGTTTCTCACTCTAGTCATCACAGACAGAAATGTATTTAGGTGTTTTAATCTTCTGAGCAATTTAATGAACCTACTAAAGACAGCATATGAAACCGGATGATATGGGCATGGAAGTGAGCACAGTAAAATTGCATACCCATCAGCACGACCACACTGGCCAGGTCGTGACGAGATTGCAGCTAACAAACGGCCACCACCAAATTGCTCTTCAACATGTGGGTCAAGCTTGCGATCCTCTTGGCGCTTCTGCAGCTTTCTCGTGACATGGTTGCTCTTTTTTGTCTCTTCAGTAGCAGCATCTCCCTCCTGAAAACCAATCAAAGAGCACACTGTGAGAGAAGAACAAAATAGCATTCATTGAAGTAATTTTCTAATAACACTAGTAGTTCTAAATTCTTTCCAGTTTCAGACAACAGAAAAATAATGATAAATCACATAAATTGCAATCATAGTGGATCATGAAGGGGAATTGAATAAACAATATTCCAACATAAAGTGAGTAAGAAAAAATAGCAATCAGAAACTGCTACTGCTCCTAATCATAGCTACAAAGATGAAAACGACTAAAAACAAAAATCAGAAGTACAACAAATACTCATTTTACCTAATCTGTAGACCATGATGCACAAACAATTTAAGCAAGCATATATACGAGTCCAGAAGAAGCTGACAGAATAAAGAGTGAAGTGTAAAATGGATTTTGCTCCTCCATAGTACTTTGTCCAAACACTTCCAGTTAGGACACATTCTTCTAAAAGCATAAAAAATCATACAGCCGTTTTTCATATAGGTCACCCCATAATCATTAAAAAAAAATTGTGAAGTGAAGCATGTAAGCTTTGGTTCCCTAATCTCAAATCACAAGCGAACTAACAATGCAAAAAGCACAACATTCCTGTCCAATGAAATGTAAAAGGAAAAGGGGGAAGAAAAGAAGACACAATACAAAATTATTGAATGATAACTTACTAATTTACTGTCCAAAACCACTTCATGATTCCTTTATAGTTAACATATTAAAAAAAAAAAATCAACCATACGACGATGCATGTCAGACTTCAATTGCAACATAATAGCCCAAACTGAACAGAAATTGCCAGTATCTTAAAACATAGCACAAATTACATGATTCATTTCTATTACCAAAAACAAATTAACTGCAGAATATTCACAAGCAAGCAAACAAACAAAAACGAAACCCCAGGTCCCCAACTTAAACATAAATAATGAGATAGAAACATTAGTAAAAGAATAGATAAATTCTCTGATACCTCTCCTTCTTTTTTGGCAGAAGTAGAGGTCTTCTTCTTGCGACCAATGTCAACTCCATAGTGCTGAAGGTACCATTGCTTAAATGGTGCTGCATCAACCTGAACAATTGCTCCCTTCACCAATGTCTGGGTCCGAACCAACTCATTGTTTGAAGCATTATAAACCACATCCAAGATACGAGTCTTCCTTGTCACAGCCTCACTGCCCCATGAGTAGTTTCCTGTATCCAACCTTAGTGCACGCCATTTTACATTTCCACCTCGAACCCTAACCCTCCGAACTGTCTTGTTGCTCGACAGCTTTGTGTTGGCAGGTTGTCTTCCGAGCTCATACCTTTAAAATAGAAGAATAACCCACATAAGCAGACTTGTGTCAAATGAACTGAAACTGAACTAAATAGGGCTTCAAAAACATACATTGCATCATAATTGATATGAATTTCATAAACCATATAAGCTAAAGTTATACAGTAAATGAAATTTTGGTAACCCAATAACCAAAAACATCAAACAGATCTAAACTGATCAGCATTTTGATTTTATCACGATCCCAATGGCCATCCACTAAATGAATATAAACTAAACGGAAGTTTTCAAAAAACAAAATGAAATAATAAATTAAAAAATATATGAATCTAAACTAATTATGGCTTAAAATATTGCGGCAAAACCACAAATCATATATGATAAAAGGAATATCACCGATTCTGGTTTCACTAATTAAAATGAATCCACTAATTAAAGAATGAACATAAACTAATTAAGGCTTTGAAATCCCAACAAGCCCATTAATCAAATATACCAGTCGAATCTAAACTGATTCAAGCTATAGAATCAGGATAAACCACTGTTGGTTGCAACCCAACCAGGGTATTTAAAATCACAACAGACACAATTATCAGAGACATAGAAAGAATAGTTAGTGTTTTTAAAATCATGACAAACCCATTAGCCAAAAGCATAAATGTTAATATATTGGATTATCGTGATTATGGCACCCATTACTTAAAAGATACACGAAATTAAATAAATATATCAGGAATTTGAACAATGAGTTTAAAGGTAGTTACTTTCGCTTCTTCCTCCAAGCCTTTTTCTTGCCTCCAGTGGCACGCCTCTTATGCATGGAATCACGAGAAATACCTGTAAGAAAACAGTGTTTTTCAACATTGACATTGTAAAGATGGGATTGAAGAAGAGATTGACAGAATTTGATGTGAATAGATAGATACCCATGGTGAATTCTAGGGTTTATTGCCCCACGAGCTCCGAAGCTTGCACAGAAACGGAGGATCCAAAGAGGAGGAAGGCTGACACAGTGTCGTTCATGGTTTTATTGAAAACCCTAATTAGTTTATTTACTATTATGTCCTCGGTCTTTTATTAAAAAGACGTATATTTATATATATATATATGTATATATATATTTTTAATAACATATACACCCCTTTTAGTTAACCCGTTACACTGTGGCTCCGTCCTGTCTCGCCCCTATTGGATTCCGCTCCTTTTAGGACGAGTTTGAAACACTTCAAATTATGTTTAAAGATCTCAACCGGCATTGATTAATAATTAATATACAAATAAATATTATTTTATTAGGTATAATTTTTCTTTATTTCTTATGATACTTTTTAAATTTAATACTACAATAGTACAATGTTTGATTATACTAAAAAAAAAATTGCAAAATTTATCTTAAATTTATTCAAATTTAAATTATTTTTTTTTAAAAAAAATATGTATATCGGGTTCAAAATCGTCCCAACTCAATATGAGATGGGACGAATTTAGGAAAATATTTTTATTTGAGAGACAGATTTGAAAAAGGGACGTCCCATCTCGAACTCGTCTGTTAACATTCCTACATTCATTACTTAGTTTGAACATCGATTTACAAATTACATGCATCATTTAAACTCAAACTTCAAATTTGATAAGATTTGAACGAGACCTAAACATAATATTTCAAACATGTATACAAATTAAAGAAATGTATATAACATTTTTTTTTAAAAAAGTTGAAAAGTATATAACATGCACTGTCTATTTGTTGGTGAAACATGGAGTATGATGTCTTTTAAATAAAATAAAACAAGTTAGAACAATAAATTTGTATTTTTGTAAAATGTCTTTTTTTTTAATAATAAAAAAAAATATTGAAGTTCGACATCTGCTCCAAACAGGCCAGGTCCAAGTTGACCAAGCACATCTAAGCCCAACTCAAAGAGAGGCACCGAGGTCCATCAATCACAACCCTTTCACAATGAATCCAATGCCCTTTAACATCCCCGAGACAAAACACTAAAGCGCCTTTAAATGACCAAAATACCCCAAATTTGTTTTAGAAATTGCTATGTGCCCTTCTTATTGGTAAAATCGAAGCGGCATATGATTTTGTTCAGCAATGGCAAAAAGCAGATTGGAACCCTATTCTTCATCTGTTCAAAACCTTCCACTGAATACTACAACTTGCATATTTGTGAATTGAATATTAAATTTCCAAGAATTACAAATACCAACCTCTTAGAATCGATTAATTCATGCAAAAAAAAAAAAAAAACCAGTCTCTGTGGAGGTATATTGAATGGGGTTTCCAGTAGCTGGAACATTGCGTTCTCATGTTTTTCTCAGTTCTCACCACAGGTCTGTGAAGTTTCTATCTTTTGATGCGAGAGAGAGACGAACCATTGATTTCAAGTTCCAAAAGCTTAATCCTCACCCAAGAAGGATTTCAGTCTGCAAGCAAGAAATGATTGATTTTGAAGAGAGAACAAGCCCAAATGAGGTATGTCCATGTTGCATTATCTCAGAAGTTTCGATCTATTTCCACTTTTAAGGTCTTGCTATTTTTGTGGCATTTGATATTATGACTAATCAGAGCTTAGTGTTATTTTTGTAGCCCAGAAATTTAATTAAACTCTAAGCTTCAGTTTTCATATGTTGTTTTGTAGATTCCTATGATATATATTTATATTTTTTCCACTTGTTATTTCACAAGCATAAATTTATGATGAAGATATCGTATAAAAGAAAATTGAAATTGAATAAGGAATAAGCCCAAATGAGGTATAGCCATTTTGTAATTCACTTCAACTTACAATGTTGTTAATGTTGGATATTTTTGAGCCATTTGTTAGATTTAAGGAACAAAATTCTTGGTGGATAGATGAGTCTTGCTAATAGCTAATAGCAACTATTGGATGTGAATGTGAAAATGTGATGCTGTTCCAAAACTTGAATAATCACAGGAGGTAATCGGCAATTGATAGGCATTCCTCAACTGCCTTATCCCTGCATTACTGCTGTCTTGTCTTCTATTTGATTCTTAAGTAATACAAGAAATCTAAAAGAAACAAGGAGCCAAAAATGTGCTCACTAAAGTTGAATGGACATATGAAGCAGTGATAGTGTCAGACCCTTCTACCGCTGGTAAAACGGGAAGGAATACACCAATCTCCTTTCAGCCTTGCACGTGGTTTGCATTATTAAAGTTGAGAAAACACAAATGTGCCCAACCTACTCATGGTTTATGGTTTTATTGGCAATGCTAATCTGGAGGACTGTTCAGCAATATATGCTTCAGCATGCGAGTCTTACTAGTTATTGGCCTTTAAACTTTTCTTGAAAGAAAATTTGAGAAATTGTTACCGAATCGCAAAAGCTGCAAGGATCCCCGGATACAGCTTGATCCTTGACGTGAAAAACTAAACATTGAATGTTATACATACGCTCTCTTCTCCAGTAATTAGGCTCTCTTTTGGTCTTCAGGACAAGTATATCTTAGAAATTGCATGTTAGATCTCCCACTAATTGTCCTTTTTGCGGCACAACAGTGACCATGTTTTTCGTCAACACTTATACACAGGTGTGAAACTTGGACTAACAAGCTTAATTTGAGTCCTTATAGGCTTTATTATTATTATTGTTTTGATAAGTACTTATAGGCTTTATTTTTGGAAATCGACATTTTAAAAGAAAGGTAAAAAATCTGAAATGTAACCCCTATCCCTAATCTTTTTCTTATAGTTTCACATTTTGTAAAAAACAATTTCTTCAATAATGCTAAAAAATAATGTAACAATCTCAAAGATGCTTGGATTCATTCATCCGAATGAATGTATTTCTTCTCCCAATTTTTTTCGGCACCAAAACAAATGGAGCTCAGTGCCTAACATTTACTGGTAGTTGCTAGGTATTTTATAGTTGGCTTGGAGAAGATCTGGAAAAATCATTAGATTTATATGCCAGCAAAGCTATGATTGACCATCAACTCTAGATAGATACTCTTAAGATTTTTGTAAATGATAAGTTCTTCAAATTGTCTTTTTGTTTCTTCAGTTTAGGGACAAGAGTTTTGAAGGTACTAGCAGACACCTGTGTTTGGCTACTTCAGATATGTTTGAAGAGTTATTTCTAGCCACAAGTAGGTCTGCTACTTGCTTACTGGACTTTAGTTGTGAAGTGTTTTGGAAATCTATGTTGAATAACTGCAAATATGCATACCTTAGCCCAGCCATTATGTTCTATTTGCATACAGATTATCTTACAAATTTTCACTTCTAATAGACTCTTTTTTTTTGGTTTTTATAGCCAGTTACTAGGTTCTTCTCATGTCTGGACCAGCCTTTTATTGATCGAAATTGCTACCTTTTTTAGGACACCATTCTTTGATTAAGAAGTACTCTCAAAATCCCCCCTCCCCCACTCAAGAAGAAAAATACAATGAAGTACAATAAAATTGCTTTATCTGTTACATATGCTATGTTTTGCTACTTTCTCTGCATTATTAGCCAAGTGGCCAATTATTGTTTATACATATGGTATACCATTTCAACAGACTTTTAGAAATAATTATTATATTTAGTAACGTGGATTTATTCTATAAAAGGTCAAAAAAGAGATAGAACGATGCTATGAACTCATACACAGGCTTGGGAGGGGTGTTGTGTACTTGGGTTCTTCAAGGATGGGATCTAATCATCCGCATTACATGCAAGCACTGGAGTTGGGGAGAGAGGCAAGTCACTCAAATTATATCTTCCTGTTTTACTTCCTGAAGCACACGTATGTATATAATAATCATGTTATGAATATGAAGTCGTTTCCCCATGCAAGAATACAAGTAAACGCACTACCATGCAAACACGAATCACATCATAAGATATAGTTTTTCTGGTTCCTGGATTTCTCTCTTGCTTCATACGAGCATCTCCAATTATTTCCTTGTGCAGATTGCAAATCTCTTGGACTGTGCTTCATGGACAGGGGTTGGTCCAGGGCTCATGGATGCTGCCACTAAAGGTGCTCTAGAAGCAGGAAAGCCAGTTGGTGGATTTAAGATAGGTAAAGAAGCTGGAGAATGGACGGCCACGAATTTTCATCCATACCTACCTTCGCAAACTTATCTAACATGCAGGTAAGTACTACAAATTGCTGTCAGCTAGAATTTATACCAATGCGCTTGTGTATGGCTGCCTAGATTTCTGAACTGCTTTGAACAAAATGCAGGTTTTTTTCCGCAAGGAAGCACGGATTGGTGGATGCCGCGGTTAGGAGTAGCATTTCTGAAAGGACTGCTGTAGTTGCTCTTCCTGGTGGTATCGGCACTCTTGATGAGATTTTTGAAATTCTAGCACTGGTTCAACTAGAAAGGATTGGGTCAGAGCTTCCAGTTCCTTTTCTCTTAATGAATTATGACGCTTTCTATTCAAAACTGTTGGACTTTCTTGATGATTGTGAGGACTGGGGTACTGTCTCCAAGGGAGAGGTTGCATCACTGTGGAAGGTCTGTGACAATAACTCAGAGGCTTTGGCCTATTTGACTGAATTTTATAATCTTCCTCTTAGTGAAACAGTTAGGACTGAAACTGGATTAAGGGCGCAAGGAACAGTTTCTTGATAACTTTGTGGTGTAGGCGAAGAATTCATAATAGAATGGTCAACAACTCTTTTTATTGCATTCGGGACAGGTTCCATCGCAATTTATTGTATTTAGTTTCATAAATTGAGAGTTCAATGTTATTAGTTCAACTCCAGAGTGATAAATAGGATGTGGCAATGTGATTCAATATATACCTCAGTGGTTTAATAAAATAATTTTCTGTATCCTGTGAAAACTTATAACTGTTTCTTGATTGTTCCAAGATTCAGACATGGATATTCATGGCCGAACTTAAAATAATGCATTGCTGTAGCAATTTAGTTCATTACATACCTCAATATATATATATATATATGTATTCTGAATATACCTCAGTATTTTGATGAAGGCATTTGGCAATCCCTTTTTCTCCATTACATAGGTAGCAATAAGATAAATTCACACAACCATTTTGTACCATTCGAGACCTCAACCCTAAAATAATCAATATCCTCTTTGGAATGTGGAGGTTGTATCACCACAGGTAATATGTAAATTTATGGACGTAGACATAAAGCTTCCACCGTGCCGGTCTTCTGGCTCTAGTTCAATCCTTAACACTTGACCATGTTAGCTTGAAATAGGTGGTAAGAGTTGGCTGAGCAGGCAGGCTTGTCTTGGACGAGCATAGTTAAATGGCTCGTCATAATGGATACTCTCCGCGTTGTTGTGGGTTGACTATAAACCTGATGTTTAAAGCTCTAAAGAGATGCTAGACGCCATTAAGAACTCAGAGAGAGAATTTGGCCATTGTTTAGTTATCTTTCTAGCCAGCATTTTCAGCCTAAGGTAATCATGACAAGTTGAACTACAATCTGATACATTATATGACCTAGTATGCAAAGTAATTCAATCGGAGATGCCTCCATGCATATCATATACCAACAAACCAAAGACATCATTCTGAGGACAACATAGCACTAGAAGAAGCCAATTCATGCTTCAGCTTGCATCAAATCATTAAAAAGCAGAAAAAGAGAAATGTTTCAGAATCTTTCTACGTAAATGTACCTTGTGGGAACACCAACATTCTACGGAAGATACCAACATAAAAAGGTAAAAAAGGAAAAAAGGAAAAATTCTACATAAGTTAAACAGGAACAATTGATGCACCCCTGCATTTATCCGCAAGTGGCACGAAGATTGCCCTTTTCACTTTGCCTTGTGGATTCACTGAAGATTGTAAAGTACTCTCTAAATTCATTTGGAAGAGGAAGTGTCAATGGAGGAACTAAGCTGTAGTGCCTACTCTCGGTTCTGGCGGATGATGGATGTGCCAGTGCTGGCTGTTGCTTATTAAGCCGTTCAATGATAAAGGAAAATGCCCCAAAGGTGAGACAGCTCTGGAGAAGGGCCTGGGGAGCACCTGCAAAACATAAATAGCACAAAAAACTTACAATGCTCTCCAATTTTCAGCAGAATATCATAACAATTGAAGTTAATATTATTTACATATCTAATCTCATCCTCCCCCCAACTCCCAAAATTTAAAACCTTAAAAATCAATTGAGAAGCCCTCCAAGTACCAAGCTAAGGTTTCAGTTGATTGTTTTGTGCAAGTCATATTCATGGTTTTAGAACCAACCATTCAAAGTGAATTTAAAAACATCCGGCAGCAGGAATAAATGAATCTACAAGGAAACCGAATTAAAATTTTGGGAAACCTGGTGAGTACAGAAACCAACAGAATGATAAAAGCAATTGCAAACATATGAAGAGAAGTATCAAATACCTGGAAAACTTAATGCAAGACCAGTGCAACATCCAGCCACTCCTGCATTAAACACTGAATGGAAAAGAATTGGAAAAGAATGCAATATAAATTAATATGGAAGAATCATGTTAAGTGCCAGTGCTACAATTGAGATGCCATACCATCATCCTTCCCTCAGAGCCTCTTCAAGAAGCATACAACCAAACTGTGAACTCCAGACAAAACTGCAAATGTCTGGCAAGGGGAAAGGTAAGATAAAGAGCCTCAGTTTCGTAATTTGATGCCAATAAATAGAACCTACAAAATTGGATGTTAAAAAAACAGGAAACTCCACCGATATCACACAGCTAGGAAAATTATAGAATTTCTCATACCTTGGCAGTAGATCCTGCTTCTGCAAAGGATCCTTTAAAGCTTTTCTTCTTAATCAATCCCGAACCTAATACATATGCCCATCGGCCCATAGAAGGAATTCTTCAGCACAAACACATCTCCAAATAGAGAAGGAAAAACAATCAAGTTTCATGTGTTTGCTAGATCACACAGAAGATGTGCTTCATGCTCATGGCAAAATGGTCTCAGTTTCACAGTTGACTTTCTTCTCCTTCTTTCTTCTCTCTTTATGGTTACCAAGTATGATTCAAGGCAAGTAACTTGGAACCCATTCATAAAGAGTACAATCCTCCAACCAAATATTTGATGGGTACTAATGGATGACAATACAATAACCATTTCATTCCAATGAAAGTGTACCTAAAATTAATAAACCCTACTCAATACCTGAACCTTTTTATCTCAACCAGAACAGAACAAAAGGTGATACATCATGTCATTACTACATGAACACAAATCTTATTTTCACCTCCGTAAAAGCAACTCATGGACATATATTACAAAAAAGAAAAAGAAAAAAAAAATCATTACTTTAAGGTGTGACTTTAAATCACTAAAATTTAATGGCTTCCCTCTCTCCACAACAATCTGCATAATGAATCTTTTCATTTTTATGGGCCTGTTTGGCAACCGTTTCGGTTTTATGTTTCTGTTTTCATCCAAAACAGAAACAACATTTTTGTTGTAGAGTGTGTTCAATAGATTGGAAGTATGTTCTGTAACGTAAAACTTGTTGCAAGATTTTTGGAAGCAAAAACATGAAAACATTATTTGGTAAAAAAGTGCTGCAAGTTTTAAAAATAAAATGGCTAGTTAAAAAGGATATTTAGAGTTTTTTTTTTTTCGGATACTGTTTGTAGCTACAGTGATGTTGCTACCGTGCAAAAACATTAGGAAACACAAATTTGGTGTTTCGAGTTGGCCTCTTTTTCCGAAACAAATACGGTACTATTCAAATCGCAACAAAAGATAGAAACGCATTTCCATGTTTTGCTACAGTATACCATCCAAATGCGGTCGCCAAACATGCCCTATGAAAGTATACATGGCATTGACATTACACACTTCAATAGGTAATGAGCTGAATTGAAGTCACAAGGCATTGTGAAACTATCATCTATAAAAATCAAACTAACCTTAAGAATATGCATTATAATATTAACTCTAATCCCACCAAAAATCAGAAATTTTCTAAGTAAAAAACCCATGTAAAATGTATTTTCTTATCTCATTACTACAAATTCTGCAACAACAATCACAATCTATAATGATACAAAACCAATAAGACCAAGCAGAACACTAATTACAATTTCCTCTATAAAATGTAAACAATTTAATCATAAAGAAGATATTCTTGATGGAATTTCAAAAACCGTGGATTGGATTAAATCTCCAGTAAGAAAATACAATGGGAGAGAATCAAATAAATAAAAGAAACACTAAACACATTGATGAACCAGGTAAGATAAAGGGTAGTGAGAGGGAGAGAGAACCGTAGCCAAAAATGGAGCCCATGAGAGCTCCGGCGGCAGAGTCGCTGGCGAACCTGAGGAGGCAAACTAAAGGAGGACTCGACAGATTACTGGGGCTCAATGTGCCTGAAGAAAAATTAGGGTTAGGGTTAGTGCTTGGATTGTTTTCGATTTCGGCATCGGAATCGGAACTTGAAGAGTCTGCCATAGTCGCCATCTCTATCAATCTGATCTTCCACTTAATCCAAACTGGACACTACTGGTTTCTAGCATTGACATATTCATCAAACGACGGCGTAGGCATTCTTCGCTTAATTCAAACATCTCCTTTTATAGATGTTTATTGGAGAGAGGCCGTGTTTGGTAAAATTAAAATGTTTGGGCCTAATAGGGCTTTTGTTTATAACTGACTGTTCCTTTTGGGCCCTATATAACTGACTGTTCCTTTTGGGCCCTTTATACCTGACTGTTCCTTTTGGGCCAATGCCCAATAGGCCAAGGGGACAAATATGTATTCTCGTTCAGATGATGGACTATTTTTCTTTCCCCTACGGGCATGATTGATATAGTTCTTATTTTCCACTTGCAGAATTGGTGTCTCTAGTCACGGGTTCAAAATAAAAAAACAATGAAAATAAAACTGCGACCGTTCCCAAACTTTACAATGATAGAAGACTCATCCGCAATGATAGAAGACCCGTGCACTAGGTTACCCTTTTACTTTATTATTATTTTTAAAATTGGTGCCAGTTTAATTCATTTTGACTAGTAGTGTTCGCTTCTATTTACAGGGAATACTACTTCAGCCGTCCCTTACCAAGAAGATTGCATATTTCAAGCCACACTTATATAATTATTGACTTTCATATTACAAGACAAACAAATTGAATAGGCTACTCTTCTCAAAGCTTCAGACCACTTCTCGAAGCCATTTCTGGATTATTTTTCATCTTCCTCAGTTATTAATTATTATAACGGGCTGTACACGCTATGAAAACATTATTCTAAAAACCTATATATATATATATTTTATAAGCTTGTTATGGGGGAATTTGGGTTGGGGTTAGTGTTTGATAAGACGTTTGTGTTCAATTGTCAAAGACACTCCTTAAACAACTAGTGCGAGTGGTTTATAAAAAACCAAGGGGTTGCTACATTTGTCAAATGTGCATGTTTTATTAAGTTATCCATTATTGATTTTCAGAGGAGTCAAGATTTGCTGACTGTTCTTTATAGATACCACGGTTGAGGTAAATGCATAAAAGTATATACAGTACAAATACATCTCTCTTTGTTTAGACTTTTCATTTCAGACTCACTACCAAAATCACATCAAAACACTATTTGTCCGGACTTATTCGGCAATTTGTTTTGCTTGTGCGGTGATTTATTTTAAAATAAAAACATGTTTAACATTTGTTAACTATTGTTGTACAATGTTTCAGAACAAAAAATATCATGAGAAAGATGTTTAGATTAAGGATGCAACTTGAGTTGGCACCCCGAGTTCAACTCGAGCCTAGGTTGATTTTTTTGTGGGTTTTAAGAATTATTTTTAGAGTAATGATAGGGAAATCGAAAAAAATTATTGAATTAGTATCGAATT